AGATGCTTAATCCTAGTCCTGCCCTTTGCTTTTCCGTGGCAACTCCCATCCAAGATGCTTTCCTACAACTTTGGTTCCAGACCAATAGTTGTAATAGAGTTGCAGGAGGGAAGCAGCTGGTGGGGGCACGGTTAAACACTTCTTTCTCTTCTGCCCCTCCAGAAACTGCATGTCAAGGGAAAAGTGACACCTGATATAAACTCACAATGGAATTTTTAGTTTTGCCTGAACTATATGCTAGATTCAAATGTTTAACTATATGCATACAAATAAATATGTGGATTTACTTCCAAGTAAAACCAAGCACCTATCAATCCAGGTGAATATACTGATGACATTCCACATGCAAAGTAGTGATGAAGGCAAAAAATGGGTACCAGGGATTTATTTTGGCACCTCATGACATTATAAGCAGACCTGATTTCCTTATGTTTTTCCTTCTATAAGATTTAATGTTGTTTTTGAGAAATAATTACACAGCACTGGCTTAGCTTTTATCCCTGCTTGAATTTTCCCTCTTTTGTATATTAATATAGAAGAAAATAAACGATGAAGCATGGACAACTTTGTTGGCGGCAGTCCTAAACTGTTTGATATGCTATCTTATTTAGCCACTTACAAACATAAAAACCCCACATTTCCCTGCTTGTAGCACCCTCTGCAGTACAGCCACTTTAATGCAACTGGGGAAAAAACATCACAATGCTCTGGATGAAGACAACATTCTACAAATTTTAATTATAGTACTTTAAAATATTTCAGATATCAGTTTCAACTGTATACTGACAGCAACCCATGCTAATAATTAAAAAAGGAAATAATTTTAAAGAACTACAAACAGGAACTATAAACAATGCCACTGTTTATTCAGAACATGCCATTTAAGACAAACACTATATTGTTTTTATCTTGTTCTATCTGGGAATACTACCAGAAAATACAAGCTGCCAGTCACTCAAAATACAAAATAGAACAATTAACTTACCATCCCTGTTAGACAGCAAACACACTAGGCCGTTAAGACATGTGTCAGTCACTTCCGAGATGTTGGTTGCACATCTGCCTATTGCCTGAATTGTAGCTGCAGCAAATTGTTTATCTTGGCTTTTCACATAGGTCTGAAGAAAATAGGAATTTCAGTCTTCAACACATTGGTCTCATCAGTTTAAATCTTTAACAAACCTATCCTTCCCTTTGGAAGCTACCTTCAGTTTTTTTAATTAGCGAATGTGAGTGATATAGAAATAGGGCAACAGGCTATCTTTAGTTACCCAATGCCAGAAGGGATTCAGCCACCATGTATATTAGTAGTGGGTAACAACTCAAAGCCAGTGATTAGTCTGAGTGTAAGAACAGCATGGTTCATGAATAGTTCTCAGAAATATTTCAATTAACTTGCTGAATCCAACTAACAACTAACTAACAACAAAAGGTGATAGTGAAACAATTGCTGCATGTGAAGATGCGAAAAATGAGTTCTTTGGAACACCACAGATGTTCCAAATATAAATATTATATACCAGTAGGTTCTGAAACAAGAGCAATGTGAGTCAATCAAAAAATACAATCAGAACATAAGACAACTCCTTTTTAGAATACTAGTATCTAGGGAGCTTTTGCCCATCTGCAACTTGTAGCAGAATCAAGCTGATTTACAACAAAATACAAACCATATTTTGTGTTCTATGGGTGATATTCATGATCACAAGTGGACTTCCCCTTACTACCCGCCCCCAGCCCCTGTAACCTCCCATGCACTTTCAAAGTATGCATCAGAGGGTTGGACGACCCTCCATAACAGATCTGGGGTGCACATGGGGGCTATAGGTGTGAGAAAAGAAAGAAGTCCCATTACACAACTGGAAAACCACTGCACAGTTGGGCAGGCATCACTAGATAAAGTTTCAAAACCTTTAAAATAAAAGAAAGGAAGCTGTTTTTCTAATGGAAAAATCTTGAATCAAAAAATCTCGAATCAGCTTAAGCATATGCTTCAAGTGATGTTTCATAGAATAAGAATGATGTACAAACCTGAAATTCTCTGAGAAGAGTTGAAATGTTGGCCTCATTTGCTAAGTTAGTTAAGATTTCAAGCTAAAAGAGAAAAGAAACTGATTAGGAAAACTTGGAAGAATAAGGAATGTTTTCTACATTGTGAACAGTTCTGAATTACAAAACGAAAAGCCCTCAGCAAGTTGAAGGCTGGAAAATAAATCATCATGAATTTTTAGTAAGATAACTGTTGTCAGGATTAAAGGAATTGATTTGAAAGCTGTGTGGTAGCTCCAGTGGCGTAGCGTGGGGGGTGCCAGGGGTGCCGGCCGCACCGGGCGCAACATTTTGGGGGGCGCGTTTGGCCGGCCCCCCTCGAGGAAGCGGGAACCTCTCCAAGGCACAGCGTGCCGTCGGTAGAGGAAAAAAGCCGCGCAGCAGCAGCAGCAGCAGCAAAGTCGGGAGGAGGAGGAGGTGGAGCGAGCCTGCTAATTCCTTGCTGGGAATTAAGCGGCTCAAGACTCTCTCCACTGGCCGCCTGGGTAGTGAGCCGAGCCGAGCAGGGAGTCTGGCGAGGGGGCGGGAAGAGACTTTCCCCCCTTTTTTCCACCTCGCCTGGTCAAAAAGGAGAGCGGAGTCTCCTCAGGGCGCCCTCAGGCAGGGCAGGGAAAGGCAAGCAGAGCGAGGAGGAGAGGGGGGGGGGGAGCAGCCAGGAAACGCCGCGGTGTGGAGGAGGAATCAATTTAGGAGAGAAAGCGAAAAGCCTTGGAGAAAGGGAAAAAAGGAAAGAAAAGAGGCAGCTCCAGGAGAGCGCGGGGGAAAGAGAAGCCTCGCTGCTGCTGCTTGGGAGAGTAAATTACTGTACTTGCCTTGCCCCGGGTTAGGGGGCGCAAATTACTTGCCTTGCCCCGGGTTAGGGGGCGCAAATTACTTGCCTTGCCCCGGGTGCTGATAACCCACGCTACGCCGCTGGGTAGCTCATATGATCCATCTGGATTGCAAGAACTCCTAACATGGCCCATGCCTAAGGCAATGTTCTGAAGCTTCTATCCAGGTGTAGAAGAGAGGCCTTTTCTGAAGTTGGAAAAAGGAGCTAGAAAAATAAACACTATGCCAGTATTATATAACGCTTCAGGAGTTGGGAACCTCCTGTCTGTTGGCCTAATTAGGCCTGCCATACTTCCCGATATGGCCTGAAAGGCTGTTGTGGGCAAGCCACACTCACTTGCCCTACACCTGAGTAAGTCTCTGTCCCACTGTCCAGTTTTAAGCTGCTGCGGCGTTGGGACTTTTCCTCAGACACTGGAATCACTGACCCATAGTGCCTCCATCTTGGCAAGATTCAGGTATGTTCCCTCATCCATCTCACCACTGCATCCAAGCGCTAGTTCATGGTCTGCACTGCCTCTCCCAATTCAGATGTTAGGGAGAAATAGAGCTAAGTATCATCAGCATATAAATGACATCTTGCCCCAAATCTCCCCATGACCACTCCCAGAAGTTTCATGTAGCTATTAAATAACATTGGGGATAAAATGGTGCCCCAAGGCATCCCATAGAGTATTTGCCAGAGGGCTGACAATGCTACTCTGTGAACTCAGCCATGAACCAGAACTACTGTAACACAGTACAGTGGTACCTCGGGGTACAGACGCTTTGGGTTACAAACTCCACTAACCAGGAAGTGGTTGCTCCAGGTTAAGAACTTTGCCCCAAGATAAGAACGGAAATCGCACGCCAGCGGTGCAGTGGCAGAAGGCCCCATTAGCGAAAGCAGACCTCAGGTTAAGAACCGTTTCAGGTTAAGAACGGACCTCCGGAACGAATTAAGTTCTTACCCCAAGGTACCACTGTACCCCCAATTTCCATTCCTTGGAGCCAGTCCAGGAGGACACCACAATGAATGGTAATGAAAGGTAAAGAAGCAGAAAGGTAAAGAAGCAGAAGCAGGGTCATATGCCCCTTGTCCCACTCTCAGCAAAGACCAATTCAAACCAGATTCAAAAAGGTCTAGATAGGTGACCTTTTCCACTGCCTTCCCTAGGAAGCAGATCTTTGCAATTGGTTCCACACCAACTTCTTTACGAGTGGTTTTCTCAAGGCAACAGGGGCCACCCCTTCACGTTATGAAGTGTTAATTACATTCTGGACCCAAACAGTCAAACACCCTTTGTGAGATCTAATAAGCCAAAAGGGACAGGAATCAATAGGATCTATGGTTGGGTGAATAGCCACAAGCACCCTGTGAATAGCCACAAGCACCCTGTCAACCTCATCTGGCTGCATAAGCTGAAACCTATTCCACAATGCATCATCAGTTGTGGCACTGGGTACCTGACTTGGAACTGAAGAGTCAAGGTCACTCTGAAGTTGAGAGACTTTAGACTCAAAACATTTTAGTCATTATATTCTGTACTCAATTCACAATTTCACATCTGCATTTCTAGTGATGTATATATATAAAATATACACAAATTTATGTAATCCCAATCTTTCTAATACAGTGGTGCCCCGCAAGACGAAAAACCCGCAAGACGAAAGGGTTTTCCGTTGCGGAGGCGCTTCGCAAGACAAATTTCCCTATTGTCTTGCCATTTTTCCCCGCTTTCCCCCCCCCCTTTTTCAAAGCCGCTAAGCCGTTAATAGCCTTTTAACAGCTTAGCCACTAAGCCTTTAATAGCCGCTAAGCCGCTAATAGCGCTAATCCGCTTAGACGCGAATAGGGTTGCTTCGCAAGACGAAAAAAACCGCTAGACGAAGAGAATCGCGGAACGGATTCTTTTCGTCTTGCGAGGCACCACTGTAACTAATTACAGAAGAAAGTTGTTCTCTTTTCCCCTGCTACATCATTCTTTGCTTCCTATACAGTAGATCAGGCTTCCTCAACCTCAGCCCGCCAGATGTTTTTGGCCTACAACTCCCATGATCCCTAGCTAGCAGGACCAGTGGTCAGGGATGATGGGAATTGTAGTCTCAAAACATCTGGAGGGCCGAGGTTGAGGAAGCCTACAGTAGATTATTTAAACAAATTACATGTAACAACTTACGTTTCTGTCCTCTTTGACATTAGCAGAGATTAATTAAATGCAGATCGTTTACTTATTGCTTACTACAAATTGCACTGAGGTTCTGCATTCAAAAAATGTCTTCCTTTTAAAGACTCAGCAAGCGATTTTATACTTACTAGAAAGCAAGCCTTGTTCAACACAAGTTTTCCTGCTAATTAAACATGTGCAAGAGTATGCTATCCACAATTTAAATTGTTCACAACACAGAGTACCGTATACACTTGAGTATAAGTTGACTTTTTCAGCACATTTTTAATGCTGAAAAAGCCCCCCTCAGCTTATACTCGAGTGAGGGTCCTTTCGGGCTGCTCCTTCCTCCGCCGCCGCCTTTGCCGCTGTCAGAGGAGGAGCGAGCAGCCCGATTCCTCCGCCGCTGCAGCCACCACCAGGTTTGTGGAGTGGTGAACTGGCTTATACTAGAGTCAATAAGTTTTCCCAGCTTTCTGTGGTAAAATTAGGTGCCTCGGCTTATATTCGGGTCGGCTTATACTCGAGTATATGTGGTATATTCCTCATAATATTGCTCAAGATAAAATTTCCTAAAGAGATGAGTTGGAATTTTGTTCTTTTTGTTTTAGTATTACAAAACAGTTATCTTAAGGTCAATGCTGAGGAACAAATATATTCATCCTATTAAGAATAATTAGTGTATTTAATATACCGTATTTTTCGCCCCATAGGGCGCACCTTGTTTTTTTGGGGGGGAAATAATGAAAAAAAATTTAATTCCCCCCGCAAAGCCCAGAAATGCAGGCAGCTCTGCGCAACCCTAAGGAGACCGGTGCAACTTCGCGCCGGGCTCCCTAGGGTTGCACAGAGCTTCCTGAAGCCTGGAGAGCGAGAGGGGTCGGTGCGCACCGACCCCTCTCACTTTCCAGGCTTCAGCGAAAGCCTGCATTCGCCCCATAGGACGCACACACATTTCCCCTTCATTTTTGGAGGGGAAAAAGTGCGTCCTATAGGGCGAAAAATAGGGTAAATATAAAATATAAAACCATACCTTTAATGTCTTGATCATAGTTGGATCAGTTGACCTAACATAGAAACTCTTCAAGTAAGGCACAAACATGCCCTGGGGAGGGAAAACACAAATTGACAATATGTAGTAATTATACTGAGGTTAAAACGTAGCAATTTTGAAGTTATGTATTCAAAACGTCAAACCTTGTGTTGGATTGACATCGTTGCTATATTCTGGAGAACAATGTACTGTACTTCCCTAAAAGTCAACGTTAGATAATTAATATGCATAACTCTCAAACACTGCTCTATTAGAAACATTTTTAAAGAGCTAGATTCAAAAGTAAAGGTTATTTAAATTCTTAGAATGCTCTTCAAAATGATTTTGAAGATATGTTATATAATGAAATATCCAAGTTCTTTGTTTAAAGTACTAAATGGGTTCAGAGTTATTGCAAACACTGCCAACATTGATGGAAATGAAATCTGGTACACTCCTTTGGGAACGTTGATTACACCCATATAGTCAAAGTAAATTTACAGAAGCATACCTGGTTTCATTTCATTTTAAAAAGCCAGGATAGGTGTATGTAGGGAACTAACATGAGAGAATGGTGGCAGGAGAGGGAATGCATAAATCCTGAAACTTAATCTTTAAAACCTACTTCCATTGTATGCTTGTGCCAGATCTTGATTTTGAACCAAATTTATACCTTATGAATGTACACTATACTTCTTTTCTAGTGAGCTTTATAAAACTGAGCTCATTAAATACTATTAACATGTTTCAGATTTTGTAAATATTGATCAAATCCATGTATGAATAATGAATACCTAAATTACTGTTATACAAGTGAAAACCAGTTTACCCTTTCATAACTTTTTACCAACCACTGTTGGGAAAATCAGCAGAAATGTATGCTTGATTTACCTGTTACTACGAAGTAAACGTACTAATGATTTAGCAACAATCCCAGCTTCAGATTTGGGTGCTACATGCCAATAAAGTTGTGCAATTGCCATCACCACCTGAAAAAATGACGACAAGTCACCTCCTTTCATCTGGTAATTACGCTTTTCTTTCACATAGTATAAACGTATTTGCATACAGAAATTTTTAATTTCTTACGTTCCTTGAAGCAAAAGAACATATTCAAAGACATCAGGTATTACATTATTTTCTCTGAATTATAAGCAGCTTTCTCAGCAGATGAAAAAACAAGTGTAGGAAAAAAAGCTAGCTTCAAGGTCTAACCCCCACCCCCCACCCCCAGCTTTAAAATATACTAAGCCACAATACATGGCAAGGTAGGCCTGCACGTTACACGGTGGTTATGTTTGGATATCTATTGTACTCAGTACAGCCTATTTTCAATGGCTAAATTAAAAAACACAGCCTGGCTTTAAAACCCCCCAAAGACATTTATGAAGAAAGTTAATCTTACAGCAGCATTCCGGCTTTGTAGTAAAGGCTTTGTATTTCGTATAAGCAATCGGTGGTCTGGGTCCATAGAATAGGGCTTGTTTGCTTCCTGAATTTTCTCTTTCTGCTCTTCTTCAGATCCATAGAAATTCTTCTCACTATACTCTTCCAGAATTCCCTCCTATCAAAGGTGAGAAAAACGCATAAAAACATACATATTGCTTTACTTTTCACTTTCAGGTAGCACCAAAAACATAAATATGGTATGTCACCTTCTAAATTTTGTTTAAAATATTTTGAATTTGAACTACAGCTCAAATTTCTCAACAGATTCCTGGCAAACACTGTTTCTTTCTCAGAGCCTGTAGAAAAATCATCTATTGGCTGCCTGGGCCTCTGTAATTCAGCTGACCAAGCAAAAGCTCAATAAGTAGTATGTCTATATACTAGAATAATAGGAGGAGAACCATAAATCAAATATAGCACGAAACCTTAGAGATCAATCAGTGAATCTTCCAGGGTACAAAATCTATTCCCCCATACTTTCATATACGCTTAACCACCTATTTCCCTGAGACCATCAAGAGACATTATGAGTTCACATAAAATAACAGCCTGATTATTTGGCATGTTATAAAAAGTATATGCTAACTTCAATGTTTTCAAATATCATACTGCGGAGACAAAAGATTCGGAGAGTAATGGTTTGCTGTTGTTTTCTTAAAGACTACAAGGATGTAAAATTATTGTGCCCAAGTTACTCTATTCAATACTCAAGAAATATCTGTAGAATCTTAAACTTAGAGTGTAACTACCGTATTTTTCCCTCTATAACACGCAGATTTTTTCTCCTAAAAAGGAAGGGGAAATGTCTGTGCGTGTTATTGAGCGAATGTGTGGTCCCTGGAGCCAAATGGCAAAAAAAATCAGGCAAAAATCAAATTGCGCGTCTCGGAGAAGGGAAACCTGAAAAGAGGAAGCGGCTGCTTTCCTGCATTCTGCCTCAGGGTCTTACTGCCCACCCTCCTCTGTTTCCTTGCTGTGTTTGCTCAAATGGAACAAAGAGCAGGGAAAGCCCCTCCCCTCCAGGCAAGCAGAGAGGAAAGGAAAGGATCGTCTTTCATTCTAATTCCTCTCCGTGAAAACATGCAGGAGGGAGAGAGAGAGAGAGAGAGAGAGAGCACGCGCGAGCTGGCTGGCTTGGGTGGGTAGGTGAGGGAAAACTTTTGCCTTCCTTTCCTCCCTCCCGTTATACCCCTCTCCTGCATTCTTAGCCAGCTGCTTCTCTGCACACCCCTCTCCTGCTCCTTGTCCATTCTGTGTTTTTCCTTCCCTCCCCACTTAAAATGTGGTTAAAAACCATGGATCCTCAGGGATCTTTGCATTGGGTCACCCCAAATTCACCATCAGATCACATAGCATGTCCATGGCTACAGCCTGCCCCCCAAAAATCACACACCCACACACCCAGTCCCCCCCCAGCCGCTTCCTTGGTCCCACAGGAAAGCCAGGCAGGGGCTGCACATCCTGCCCTCCGCCTCTTCCTGCTGCCCCCAACAGACAACCAGGCCTGCAAGCTTCCTCTTCTGACATCGCCCAGGCCCCCACGCAGCCCTCCACCAGCAAAACGCCCAGGAGTTTGAAGGGACCCGAGGGCCACGCAGCCAAGGGGTCTAACTCTGCAGGGAAAAGCTTCCTGTCTTTCCTCTGCCCCCTCCCCACCGGAAAGGGATGGTGGCTGCAGGCTCTGCCCCCCCCCTTAACATCTGCAAAATGATTAAGGCTGATACATTGTGTTACAGGATTTTATCTAGGTAACTTCCCTGAGCTGTCAAGTTGAAAGGGTACATTCAGGCATAATATTTGCAACATTTAACAACTTTAAAGATGTCCCCCCCCCCTGTAATTTCCATAACAGTTGGAAGGACAAAAATATAACCTCCTATGACAACTCCTGCAACCCATGAGCTTTCAGACAAAGATCATGCATGGACAAATGTAAAGATCTTTGGAAAGTATTGATCGAAACCACAGTAACAAACAAATCAATGTATCTTCAAGGGAAAGAATAAGTAGATCCATTTGCATATATAGCTCTGTAGGCTTAATGAGATTCCCACAAAACATTAGGAAGGCCTTTCTGGTGGTGAGAGCAGTCAGACAGGGGAAGGGGCTTTTAGGGAGAGGTGGGGGGGGCATCTGCCAGGGATGCTTTAGCTGTGAGTCCTGAATTGCTGGGGGTTGGACTGGATGACCTTTGGGTCCCTTCCACCTCTATGATTCCATGACCTTTAAGGGAAGTCACCTCCATCTTCCTCTCAGAGCAGATGCCCACAAGCCCTGGGCGGGAAGAGCCCGAGAGCAGAGAGAGCCCAGAGAGAGAGAGAGAGGCCCGAGAGAGAGAGAAAGAGAGAGAGAGCGAGAGAGAGAGAGAGCCCGAGAGAGAGAAGAAAGAGAGAGAGCGCAAGGAGAGAAAGAGAAAAGAAGAGCCGGGGAGAGGGAAGCCGAGAGAGAAAGAAGAAGAAAGAGAGGGCGAGAGAGAGAGCCCGAGAGAGAGAGAGAGTAGAGAGAGAGCCTCACGAGAGAAGAGGCGGGAGAGAAGCCCCGAGAGAGAGGAAGGAGCGAGAGAGAGCGCCGAGAGAGAGAGAGCGAGGAGAGAAGAGCCCGAGGAGAGAGAGCGAGAGAGAAGCGCGCCAAGCCCCTCACCGCCTGCCCCCGATCCCCCTCTCCCCTCCTCCCTAGGCGGCAGCTCCGCCATGACCACAAACGGCGGCGGCAGCAGCAGCAGCCGCGCGCGGCCCGGGCTCCCCTCGCCGGCCGCGGGAGCCAAGGCGCGCGATAATTTGCTTAAATTATGTCAGCGGCGCCCGGCAGAGCAGCCCTCTCGGCCACGGCAGCCCGGCTCTCCCAGCCCCCGGGGGCCGCCCTCCTCCCTCGCGCAACCGCAGCGTTCCCGCCCGGGGAGGCGGCGCCCCCAGGAGAGGCGGCAGCAGCAGCCGCGCGCGGCCCGGGCTCCCCTCGCCGGCCGCGGGAGCCAAGGCGCGCGACGAGGGAGCCAAGGCGCGCGATAATTTTTTAAATTATTGGGGGGGCGGAGCCCCCCAATAAAATTTTTGAGGGGGCTCGGGCCCCCTCAGGCCCCATGGGGTCGGCGCCTATGCCTTGATGGCAGAAAGTGAGGAGGAATTGAAGGACCTTTTATTGAGGGTGAAAGAGGAGAGTGCAAAATATGGTCTGAAGCTCAACATCAAAAAAACGAAGATCATGGCCACTGGTCCCATCACCTCCTGGCAAATAGAAGGGGAAGAAATGGAGGCAGTGAGAGATTTTACTTTCTTGGGCTCCATGATCACTGCAGATGGTGACAGCAGCCACGAAATTAAGAGACGCCTGCTTCTTGGGAGAAAGGCGATGGCAAACCTAGACAACATCTTAAAAAGCAGAGACATCACCTTGCCAACGAAGGTCCGTCTAGTTAAAGCCATGGTTTTCCCAGTAGTGATGTATGGAAGTGAGAGCTGGACCATCAAGAAGGCTGATCGCCGAAGAATTGATGCTTTTGAATTCTGGTGCTGGAGGAGACTCTTGAGAGTCCCATGGACTGCAAGAAGATCAAACACATTCATTCTGAAGGAAATCAGCCCTGAGTGCTCACTGGAAGGACAGATCCTGAAGCTGAGGCTCCAAGACTTTGGCCACCTCATGAGAAGAGAAGACTCCCTGGAAAAGACCCTGATGTTGGGAAAGATGGAGGGCACAAGGAGAAGGGGACGACAGAGGACGAGATGGTTGGACAGTGTTCTCAAAGCTACGAACATGAGTTTGACCAAACTGCGGGAGGCAGTGGAAGACAGGAGTGCCTGGCGTGCTCTGGTCCAGGGGGTCACGAAGAGTCGGACACGACTAAACAACACTTACTACATCCCCTAATGCAAACACGTTCGTTTGTTGGTATGCCTCTGTGTCTCCCATCGCTAGGAAAATTAGAGCAAATTATATAGCCAAGATAGCCACCAACTGTAAAGGAGATGAATTTATTTGACCCTTTCTACTCCGAATATAATTGCACATTGTATTAACATTATTTTTTAATATATTAGTGGCCATGTGGTGATTTTAGCCTATAAATTTTATTGTTTAATGTCTTAACCTGTATATTAAGGTACTTTTATAGCTCTGTTTAGAGTAGTGTCTTGATAATATAAATGTTTTAAGTTTTTTGTATTAATCCAGCATATTTTCTTTTAATTGTTGAATGATCCTGTGTACATTGCGGCAGCCTTTGGCTATGTGCAATAAAACTGACTGACTGACTATTCACTTACTGAATTTATATAGCTGCCCCATACATCAGGATTTGGGGGTGGGGGTGGGGAGAGAACTGAGTTCTCTGTGAAGCGATTGGTCAGTTAGGTAAGTATTTTTATTGACTTACTTGATATTTTTTGGAGGAGGGCAGCTGCATACACCCACACCCCAGCTGTGCCCATGGCCCCATAGCACAAATACTCTAGGAAACCAGAGTGGTGTAGTGGTTAGAGTGTCGGACGTGGCCCTGGGTTCAAATCCCCCCAGAGTCATGAAGCTCACCTGGGTGACCTTGAGCCAGCCACCTAACCTACTTTGCAGGGTCGTTGTAGGGATTAGCTGAAAACTGGGGTGAACCACATGGAAAAACGGTGGGATAGAATTGCAGCAAATGAACTCTTCGGCTTACCTGCCGGCCGGATGGAGATGTCATTTGGCAACCTGGCACCCACATGGTCGCAACTGGAACTGTGCCAGTCACAAAAAGGCACCTTGCAGATTTCTAACACTGGAAAGAACGGAAGAAGATATCCCCCCGCGCGATCTCATAGTGCTTAAGCTCGGGGGCATCCAATGAAACTGAATGCGATTCAACACAGACGAAAGGAAGTCATTCATTGATTTATCGGCTACTTTAAAATGAGGCTGCATTTTAAATTGCATTTTATCCTGTATTTTAAATTGGTTCCCCCCCCTTCACTTTTCCCCCTATTATGTTTTTACTGTGAGCCCGGCTCTGGCCGGGGAGGGCGGGGTATAAATAAAATTTATTATGATTATGATTATTATTGCAGTGCACAAACTATGGAACTCACTCCTGCAGGAGACAGGGACGGTCAACTTGGATGGCTTTAGAAGAGGATTGGACAAATTCACGCGGGACAACTGGCTATTGTGGTTTATTATTACGGGGCGAGTGCTTTGGAGCTTGTGTCCTGCTTGTGGGTTTTTCCTTGCTGCATCTGGTTTGCAACCATGGGATGCTGGACTAGATGGGCCTTTGAGCAGCTCAGTTGGTTAGAGCATGGTGCTGAGAATGCCAAGGTTGCAGGTTCAATCCCCGTATGGGACAACTGCGTATTCCTGCATTGCAGAGAGTTGGACTAGATGATCCCCAGGGTCCCTTCCACCTCTATGATTCTTCTATGACTTCTGTTTCCCCCCCCCATCCCTCAGCTGTTACAGCTCAAACCAAGAAGCGAGCCTAGCAGAAAGAAGCCACATGATCAAACTCAAGACTGAAACGTTTTATTAAAAGGGTTCTTTAATTTTCTCTAGGAAAACAATCATACATACAAAGAACAGGGGAAGAAAGGAAGGCTGTGTGTTTTCTCTAAGGCACAAAAGTGTTTTTGAGAGAGAAAAACGATCAGCACACCTACAGCAGTCATCAGAAGGTGTGTGCCTGCAGCAAATCATCGGCAGAAAAATGGCACAGTTGCAGCAACGGGCGAGGGCATGGATTGCTCTTTGGAAATAATATTAGCTGGCTCCTGTAAGCAGACAGATCCTCCAGCTAACAACTCTCTTGCTGAGTCTCTTAGTGAGGGGGGGGACTATTTTATTGGGGGGGCTACTCTTCCCAGGGTAGCCTTGAGAGGCTGAATCGATCAGCATCAATGTGGCTGGAAAAAAATACAGAGAACTTTGCTATTGCAGAAGGAAATTGCAGAGAGTTGTACATATGACATTTCTGGGATCGGGGGGGGGGGACTTTAAAACATCGTTGTCCAAGGTGCGCTCTGGATTCGCAGCAGAAACTATGACAAAACCCTCAAGTCGAAGCCACAGGCTGCTTTGTTGCCAAAGTTTTTTTCCTCCCCTCCTAGACTGGTTTTTAGAAACCACGCTTCCTCTGGTGGGGAGGAAGAAGTGGGGTTGGGGCTAAGTGGCGAAGACGGTTTTGTTCCCCAGCGCAGAAAGGAAAGGGCCCAGTGTTCTTTGGACGGTTCAGGGGACGCCTCATAAGGAGGAGGTGGGGAGGCCTTGGTAGCCACGTCTGGGTAGGGGCGCAGCGGCTCCGGGTGGTCGATGGGCTGGTACGAGCTGCGGTCCTGCCCAACGTTGAGGACACCTGTGCAGAAGGAAAGGGGAAAGGGACAGCTTTTAGCCTTCGGATGCAGCACCCAGGGTTCAAGGTGTTCCCAGCAAGAATCTAAGTGCTGGGATGAGCTGCAACTGGAGAGCTAGCTGTAATTTTCTGAGCCGTGAATTAGACTATCACTTGCCTTTACAGCCCCCAATACCTTGCATCAATGGGACGCGGGTGGCGCTGCGGGTTAAACCACAGAGCCTAGGACTTGCCGATCAGAAGGTCGGCGGTTCGAATCCCCGCGACGGGGTGAGCTCCCGTTGCTCAGTCCCTGCTCCTGCCAACCTAGCAGTTCAAAAGCACGTCAAAGTGCAAGTAGATAAATAGGTACCGCTCCGGCGGGAAGGTAAACGGTGTTTCCGTGTGTTGCTCTGGTTTGCCAGAATCGGCTTAGTCATGGTGGCCACATGACCCAGAAGCTGTACGCCGGCTCCCTCGGCCAATAAAGTGAGATGAGCGCCGCAACCCCAGAGTCGGTCACGACTGGACCTAATGGTCAGGAGTCCCTTTACCTTTATACCTTGCATCACAGCTCTGACCGCTGGCCATGTTGGCTGGAGGGCTACTGTTTCTCCACCTCTGAACTAGACCGTCACTTGTCTTCACTGCCCCTAGGGACCACTGACCATGGCAGCTGCGGCTGATGGGAAGTAGAATCTCATCTCAAATGCTGCAGGTTCCCCATCAATGAACCAGACCATCACTTGCCTTTACTGCCCCTGTTCCTTCTCAGTTCTGCCATCTTTTTTTTTATGCATGGCCAGGTAGCCTGGTTGATGGACAACAAATCCCATCCTTGTCCCTATTGGCCATGCTGGCTGATGGGAGTTGGCAGTCCAACCATGTTTGGAGAGTCACAAGTTCCCATAACCATTGCACTTCTTTGTTCATTGCCAGTGATCAATTTCCAAAATGAGGGATAGGTGCTTTGTGTCCAGGAAACCTCGCCTCTCAGGTGGCACTTTTGGTTGCTGTGAGTGACTAGGTGGGGAAGCACTCTGCACATGCTCTTCCGCACCTTCTTTATGCAAAAACCCTAGAGTCCATTGGCCCAGTCTTTGCTGACTTTAAAAATAGTTTGGTAAACTCTGGGAGCTTGGGTCTATCTATGGAAAGGTAAAAGGTCAGGGCCCCCTTGACGGTTAAGTCCAGTCAAAGGCCACTATGGGGTGTGGCGCTCATCTCGCTTTCAGGCTGAGGGAGCCAGCATTTGTCCGCAGACAGCTTTCCGGGTCATGTGGCCAGCATGTCTAAACCGGACAGGACACCGTGACGGAAACCAGAGCGCACGGAAATGCCGTTTACCTTCCTGCCACAGCAGCACCTACCGTATTTTTCGCTCTATAAGACACACCCAACCATAAGACGCACCTAGTTTTTAGAGGAGGAAAACAAGAAACAAGAAAGCAATGCAAAGCCTCTTGAGTGAAGAGGGAGGAATGCTCCCACTGCGCTCATGAGGCTTTGCGTGGCTATCCCTGAAGCCAGAAGAGCAAGAGGGATCGCTGCGCACCAATCCCTCTTGCTCTTCTGGCTTCAGCGATAGCATTCACTCCATAAAATGAAGACACATTTCCCCATACTTTTTAGGAGGGGAAAAGTGCGTCTTATAGAGCAAAAACAACAACAACAAGAGGTATTTATCTACTTGCACTGGTGTGCTTTTGAACTGCAGAAATCCGTTCCGCGATTCTCTTCGTCTAGCGGTTTTTTCGTCTTGCGAGGCATTCGTCTTGCGGGGCACCACTGTAGTTGCTCTGGAAAAAAAGTGGGATTCTCTCTTCCCTCTTTTTATTTATTTGCACAGAGGTGCTCTTATGTGTGTGTTTTATTACAAATATAGCAGAGGGGGGAAAGGGAGAAGGAAGAGGAAAAAACAAACACCACCAATTCCTACTGACATTAAGAATAATTCATCATCCAAAAAGAGAAGAATAACCCATCAAAAAGGCTGTTGATTTTTCATCAGGTCTTTTTTAAAAAAATACCCCATACATACACCCCCCACCCCACCCCCACACCATTGATTTATTAACCTCCTTCTCAAGGCAATTTACACATAAGGTAATTTAAAACCGTTAATAACACTTGAGACAACAAAAACACCTAAAGCAAGACTAAAACTGCCACCAGATTCAGCAGTAAACAGTGAGTTTTCTGGGGAAAGCAGACGGGCAAACGAAAAACTTCTCGAACTTGTGCCCAGAAAGCACTGGCCAAACAGAAGTAATATTGTGTGTGTGTGTGTGTGTGTGTGTGTGTGTGTGTGGAGAGGGGGGGGCAAACTTACTTGGAGACAAATCTTCTGCTCGGTATACGAAGAGCTGGAGCATGGCTCTGCGTACTGCTGGCATTACTGCTGCCTGCAGGAGGTTGGCTTCCAAATCGCCACTGTCTGGCAAATGGGCTGCATCCTTGGAGAAGAGAAAGGCGCAACATAAACCTGTGACCCAGATGCTGGTGGCCCTCTAGATGTTTTTGGCTCACAACCCCCATCAGCCCCAGCCTGCCCCAGCTGTGCTGGTGGGGATGGATGGGAACACAGGAAGCTGCCTTGTCATGGATCAGGCCATTGGCCTACCTGGCACAGTGCTGTCCACACTGACCAGCAATGGCTCCCAAGACTTTGGATGGGAGACATTCCCTGCCCCACCTGGAGATGCGGGGGGGGGGGGGCAGGACTTCCTGCAAGCAAAGCAGGTGCTCTGTCAGGGAGCTCCCTTCCCCATAATCCTTTTTCAGTCTCAAATATCGGGAGGGCCCTAGGTGGGTGAAAGCTGTCACAGACCATCTCTACAGAACACGGAGGGAGTTTCAGATTCAAACAGGGCATTTTCTGTGTTCATTTCAGTGGCAGCTGCAAAAGAAGCACAAACACTGTAGCAGGAACAAATGCAATGTTGGAACCAGCCCACAGTTATGCAAGGAAAGCTGTGGAAAACTCAACCCAGTTTAACAGGCATGCCGTCTCCCAAGAAAACAGTAGATCTGGCATGTGGGACCTGCTGTCCTGTAGCTTCTTCCTGTGGTGAGCCACACAGGAGGGCCACATGGGGGCAGGCAATGGTGTAAGGTGGGCCTTTTCGATTTAGCCAGGTACTCAGAGTAGAATTCATGGTTCTCTTTTCAAAACAACCTTATGAGGTAAGGTAATGAATTAATTATAGGTCTTTTCCCGCTGCTTGTTCATATTCCTGGAAAAGTCTGCAACAGTTCAAATATAGGCACAAATAAAACTTAAATAAAGCTAAAGACCACAGAATTGCAAGAGCAATTAAAATTATCTGCAAAAGGTGAGAGAAGGAAAAGCAACAACAAACAAAAGACAGGCTTCAGGCAAACTTCTCTGGGGAGGGTGTTCCATGGCTGGAGTGCTACTACCCAAAAGGCCCTTTAGATAGTGGGGGAACCCCAAGCAGCTTTCCTGTGAAGTTTTTAATGTAGGGGCAGGTGCAAATCGAGACAGGTGGTAAGGTCAAGATGGAGCAACTGGACCCCATTCACCCACTGAGCTTCAGGGCAAAATAGGAGTTTGAACCTTGTTCCCCACAGGAATAAGTCTAACACTCCATATCCACCATCCCAGTCTGGCATAGGAATTTGGGTGGGGACCCCACATAGTAGAATCATGGAATCATAGTTGGAACGGATCCTGAGGATCATCTAGTTCAGGAATATGCAGCTGTCCCTTACTGAACCCGCAACCTTGATGTTCTCAACACCACACTCTAACTAACTGAGCTGATGTTGGCATCCTGTAGCAGGACCCAGGTATAGATAATATTTATCTTCTTAAAAATGTTGCTGCTAAAATCCCAAGTTCTTCCTATTTAGGCTGCTGGTACAAGGCCACCAAGAGTTCTGCTTGTCTAGTCAGCCTGTCCTGCTCTACTAAACCATTTAGCAAGTTGGCGTCTGACCTAGGTAAAGGTAAAGGTACCCCTGCCTGAAGGCCAGTCGTGTCCGACTCTAGGGTTGTGCGCCCATCTCACTTCAGAGGCCGGGGGCCAGCGCTGTCCGGAGACACTTCCGGGTCACGTGGCCAGCGTGACGAAGCTGCTCTGGCGAGCCGGCACCAGAGCAGCACACGGAAACGCCATTTACCTTCCCGCTAGAAAGCGGTACCTATTTATCTACTTGCACTTTAGGGGTGCTTTCGAACTGCTAGGTGGGCAGGAGCTGGGACCGAAAGACAGGAGCTCACCCCGCCGCGGGGATTCGAACCGCCGACCATGCGATCGGCAAGCCCTAGGCGCTGAGGATTTACCCACAGCGCCACCCGCGTCCCACAGGCGTCTGACCTACCAGTCTTGAAAAATGATGCTTTATTCCATTATCCAAACAAGGCACCCCATCATTTTAATAGCTGCCAATGGCATCACATGAACTTGAATGCCCGTGACAAGCCTCTGTTGAGGTGGTGAAGATGTTGTAATGTAAAGATTTTTACCGGCGCCTGATCTCCAGCTCCAAGGACACAGAGGTGAACTTTCACATAGCCCCTTAGTCCGGCATTGAGATTAGCTGGGTCATAGAGGCTCAGCCATTTGCCCATCAGAGCATGACCTAGGGAAAAGAACAAGAGCCAACATTCACACCATCCAGAAGTGCCATCTAATTGTGGACAGACATTCATTTGAAAAACATTCGAAGATCCTGCTGGATCAGGCTTGGCCAGCATCCTGTTCTCACCAGGGCCTGTCAGATCCCTTTGGGACCCGAGCCCAAGAGCCCTCTCTCCCCCGGGGTTTCCAGCAGCTGGTCTTCAGAAGCCTTGCTGCCTCCAGCCATGGAGGCAGAGCATAGTCATCATGGCCAGCAGCCATTGATTGCCAAGGACAGCCTTTTCCTCCATCCTTTTCTAACGCCATCCTCGATGGCGGCCATCACTGCCTCCTGTGGCAGTGAGTTCCACAGTTCAATATTTTAACTGTTTAACTGCTTTGTGAAGAAGGGCTTTCTTTTATCTGTCCTGAATCTTCCAACATCATTGGTTGTTCATGAGTTCAGGTGTTATGAGAGAGGGAGAAAAACATTTCTCTGTCCACTTTCTCCAGGCCAGGCATCATTTTAGACACCTCTGTCATTTCACCTCTTGCCCACCTTTTCTCTTAACTAAAAAGTCCTCGCAGGGGAGTTGCTATGAGGAACAGTATCACAAGGATGCTTCCTTTTTGTCAAACGTCAATATAAAACTGTGTGACCTGGTCAGAGTCCCTCTTTCCTTACTCTGTAGGTAATATAAGCTGTCAAGCCCTAAATCTGAGGTCTGAGCTGAAACTTTTCACAAGTTTCCATGAATGGTTTTGGCCCTGTTGATGAGGGCTTCCTTTTCCAATTCTTTGAGGCACTCCTTGTGAAAAGGTTACATTGCCTCACTAGCTCTCACTCTCAATTGCCTTCAATTGCCATCACCATATACTCAAATCTGACGGGCTCTATAGCATAGTAATACCATCCCATGTCCTACAATAGCCGGTTTACATTTCATTTCCCACAAATATACATAGAAAATAGGCAATTTAAATATAGTAGTAGCACAACAGCTGTAATATGTAATACAAATATAATGCACTACAATATAAAGAGCATATTAGCACAAAACAACCAGTAGGACAATTAACAGGATCTGACACCAAAAACATCCATGGAGCTTGTGATGTGAGGATGGAGCACAAAGCCCAATGGAGGGCGGAGGAAGGGAACAGTGGCTGAAGGGTCTTGGACACCCTGCCTCCCAAGAGCCCTCAAACTCGCCACTGGCTCAAGACAAAAGTACCTGGAGATTCATACACAAGCTCGATCTCAATCTGCAGAGAGAGAAAAACAGAAGGAGTTACAGGAATTGTCAAGGAAAGGAAAAATTGAGCTGTGGGAAAATTTCAGGGCAATTCAGAATATTGCAAAGAGTTTGTGGTTAGACTAAATTGTGGTGGTTTTTCCTTTTTGCGGGAGGTGGGGTTCCCTTCCAATCCTGTGATTTTATAACTAAAATGGGGTTCCACAGGAATAGGGGAGATTGCTAAAATGGTCAAATGCTTCTTTATTAAGGAAATAGCATAGGCAGGTCCAGTGGCGTAGCGTGGGGGGTGCCAGGGGTGCCGGCCGCACCGGGCGCAACATTTTGGGGGGCGCGTTTGGCCGGCCCCCCTCGAGGAAGCGGGAACCTCTCCAAGGCACAGCGTGCCGTCGGTAGAGGAAAAAAGCCGCGCAGCAGCAGCAGCAGCAGCAAAGTCGGGAGGAGGAGGAGGTGGAGCGAGCCTGCTAATTCCTTGCTGGGAATTAAGCGGCTCAAGACTCTCTCCACTGGCCGCCTGGGTAGTGAGCCGAGCCGAGCAGGGAGTCTGGCGAGGGGGCGGGAAGAGACTTTCCCCCCTTTTTTCCACCTCGCCTGGTCAAAAAGGAGAGCGGAGTCTCCTCAGGCAGGGCAGGGAAAGGCAAGCAGAGCGAGGAGGAGAGAGGGGGGGGGAGCAGCCAGGAAACGCCGCGGTGTGGAGGAGGAATCAATTTAGGAGAGAAAGCGAAAAGCCTTGGAGAAAGGGAAAAAAGGAAAGAAAAGAGGCAGCTCCAGGAGAGCGCGGGGGAAAGAGAAGCCTCGCTGCTGCTGCTTGGGAGAGTAAATTACTGTACTTGCCTTGCCCCGGGTTAGGGGGCGCAAATTACTTGCCTTGCCCCGGGTTAGGGGGCGCAAATTACTTGCCTTGCCCCGGGTGCTGATAACCCACGCTACGCCGCTGGGCAGGTCTATTAAGTATCTGTATTGTAATGTATGCTAATGTGTTGTCACAGAAACTCTAAATCTCTGGAGGCTCTTCTGGGTGGTCAGTGGAAGAGGGTGTGTCTCCCTCCCTCTCCCTGGCTAAAGGGGACGTCTTCAAGACCTTTTCTGTGTGGAAAAGGACACAGGAGAATGGCCGTCTGGGGGCTGGAGCTACAGAAGAGACACAGAGGCCTGACTTGCTCTCTGCAAGAATCCAAAGCTATGCCTTTGGTGACCCACCCCAGGAACCTAAAGTAGGAGGAAGAGATGATCAGCTGGAAGATTAATGCTGTAAACCTTCCAGAACATGCTCAGCCTGTGTTTATAAACCTTCTACCACAGAAATCACCATCAGCCTTCCGTGGCCTTCACTCCAAGGAAACCAACCCAAGGTATGAGCTGGGACTAGGGATTTACAAATTCTGGTTTTCTAAGTTTCTCCTTTTTCCAATCTTAAATTCAGTTCTTCACATTTCTGCAGCAATTTGGTTTTCTTAGTGTGAATTTCCCCTAATTCTTAAATGCAGTTTTGACAAATATAGACATGTTTGCAAGCACTCTCCCCTATGATAATGCATTTTTGTATGGCATTTTCACTGATGTATGCCTGTACAGGCAAACGTTACCCTAATATAACATTGCATTTAGTAGTTGTTGCTCTAATGTAATTAGCTGCCATAAATAGAGCCTGTTTAAGTGTTGGATGTTGCCAGATGTTGAGTGCTACCAGTGGTAAAACAACAAACAAACAATGAATGAATGAATGAATGTCAAAAGCTTGGCTGAGAGATCAGAACTTCTGAAAAAGACTCTTTCCCTTGTCTTGGGGGCCAGCCCAGGGCAGCTCAAGGCCCAGTCCTGAGTTCAGGCCCACTGAGCAGCACCAGCAGGGAGGCACCTCTTGATTTCTGCCTCTCTGTAGATATCAGCCCAAATTGCACCCTGGAGACCCCAAGGAGGGAATCGGCCCGTATTGCCTTGGAGTTCAGCACCTAAAAAAGAAACACACATAAATTCCCCTCCCACAAAGCTGCCTTGTTCGTCTAGTATAGGGGTTGGCAATGCAGTGCCTCCAGATGTTGAGGACTACAATTCCTATCACCCTTGATCACTGATTCAGCTGATGGGAGCTGAATTCCAAAATACTGTATGTGGAGCCCCCCCCCCACCACACTGGTTGTGTCTGGTCTGAGTAAGAGGCAATTGTGGCCTCAGTCGCAACTCCACTCTCCCCCAGGCAGTGACTAAAACAAGGAGTGATAAAATCAACTCAACCAGACAACAATCTGGATTAAAAATGGCCACAGCTTTATTGACTGCAGAAGTAGGTGGAATTTTGGCGCAGGCATCGGGTGTCTATTTGTCCTAGCCTGCTGCCGGAGGGCTGAAACATTTTCAGGGTTATGCCAAGGACTTTGGCCTCTCCGAGACCCCAAGCTACTGAGGGTGCCATGCTAAGGCCATTTGCTGGAAGCTCTAAGGCCCGCCTGCCCCATGCTTGGCTTCTGGACAGAGACTTCCACCCTCTAATGGGGTGCCCTGAATACGCTGCTGGTACTGGACTGGGCAATGCACCTTCACCCAAAAGATATGGAGGGCACCACACCACATGGGTTGCCCCTAGTCGAAGTGAGATCCATTTAGCAGCTGCATTATCCTTTTAACACTTGCATTGGGGCTTCTTTTGTATCTCTGAGGAAAAGGAATAGATTTAAGAGTTTAAAATTCAAAACAGGCAACCCAGCAACAACCAACTGTCTGCACAGAGGGTGCGGAAGAATGGAAAACATAATCAATGGAAGCTGGAGGAAGGTGACTCAAGAGCCACCAGCCCACACCACTTCTTCTGGTGTACACACCACACTTGCCTACCGTCAGGCTAGGCGGGGAAAGGGCCACAGTCCAGAGGGAGACTACCTGCTTTGCCTGCTGAAAGTCCCAGGTAAAGCTGAGAAAGACATCTGTTTGAAACCCTGGAGAGCTGCTGCCAGCCAGTGTATAACAAATACCCCAGCAGCCTGATTTGATACAAGACAACTTCCTGATTTGAAAGAGCTAAGAAAAAGTGTCAGGGTCAAGCTTGGACTTCACTTGGGCAATGGTGCGTTGGTTTTCTATCCTTATTTCTGGTTCCCCTGCCTGATGGCATCTTCTTAGGCCTCATTCCCAGGAAAGGGTGTCTCCTGCTTTTGCCCTGCTAGCTCTCTCAGCCCACATCCACATCATAAAGTGCCATGATACCACTTTAAACAGTCCTGGCTTCCCCCAAAGGGTTCTGGGAGCTGTCGTTTGTTAAGAGTGCCAAGAGTTGTCAGGAGACCCCCATTCCCCTCCTAAAGCTACAGTTCCTACAGTGGTTTAACAATCCCTCTCCTCAGGGACATCTGGGAATTATAGCTCTGTGAAGGGGAGAGGGGCCTCCTTAATGGCACCCTTCATGGTACAGCTCCCAGAACCCTTTGGGGAAAGTCAGGACTGTTTAAAGTGGCATTGTAGTGCTTTCAAGGTATGGTGCGAATGTGGCCTAACAAGTGAAGGAATTCCAATGGGTCTACTCTGAGTGGAACAACCTAGTTGCTTAACAGTCCTTTGTGGCCTTGTAGGTGTTGTGACCTCTTGTGAGAAGGAAGCGTGGCTGGGGAGTGGCAAAGCGTGCCCACAGCCTGCAACGTCTCAGAAGCAGCTCATGCAACCTCTCACCTGGCCAGGTTCCTTGGAGCTGCGATGAATGAGCCTGGGACCTTGCAGTGTTTAGCTGAGGGTGTGGATGGAGGACAAGGTTCTAGCTACTTGCTGGGGACGGTGGTGGGATGGCCTTGTTCCTCTATGCTTGGGAATCTCGTGTTTGTTTTTGTATCCACTCCTCAGTTTCTGCTACGGCTCCTTCTGCCTCCTTGTTCCACTCAGACTCTCTGAAGATTCTGGACTAGAAGTCACTTTACGTCTGGCCTGCTTCTTCCTTTACAAAATTGCCAGTTCTGCTCCCCAGGTTATCAGCCCTGAGTCCGAATGAAGCCTGCCAGAGCTACAATTCTCAGAGTTCCCTGTGAAGAGGGATTGATGGTCTGGGAATGGTAGCTTTGTGAGGGGAACAGGAGTCTCCCAATAACTCTCCGTGTCCTTAGCAAGCTTTGGAGCTGTTTAAAGTGACACGATAGTGCTTCAAATTGATGGTGCTAATGTGGCCCCAGTGGCCGACAACCCAATTTGCTGCTTCTTGACACGAATCACAAGGTAATGCAATCGCAAGATGTGTCTAACCTTTTGTCCTCCAGAGGTTGCTGGAATCCAACTCCTATCGTGCCAGACTTTGGGGGCTGATAGGAGCTGGAGCCTGGCAGCCTTTGGAGAGCACCACACGGGCTACTCTTGAGGACATGGGATTCTGTTGAAAAGGAAGGACCAGATGTCGCTTTATAATAATAATAATAATAATTTATTATTTGTACCCCGCCCATCTGGCTGGGTTTCCCCAGCCACTCTGGGCGGCTTCCAACAAAGATGAAAAATACACTAAAATGTCACATATTAAAAACTTCCCTGAACAGGGCTGCCTTCAGATGTCTTCTGAATGTCAGGTAGTTGTTTATCGCTTTGACATCTGATGGGAGGGCGTTCCACAGGACGGGCGCCACTACCGAGAAAGCCCTCTGCCTGGTTCCCTGTAACTTGGCCTCTCGCAGTGAGGGAACCGCCAGAAGGCCCTCGGAGCTGGACCTCAGTGTCCGGGCAGAACGATGGGGGTGGAGACGCTCCTTCAGATATACTGGACCGAGGCCGTTTAGGGTTTTAAAGGTCAGCACCAACACTTGGAATTGTGCTCGGAAACGTACTGGGAGCCAACGTACAGTGGTTCCTCGGGTTACATGCGCTTCAGGTTACATACGCTTCACTCACCAGTTTCTTTATGTACCAGAATGTCCAATTCCCCTTTTGGGACGTGATTTTCTATCTAAAACCGCAGTGCCTAGGACTTGCCGATCACATGGTCGGCGGTTCGAATCCCCGCGGTGGGGTGCGCTCCCGTCGTTCGGTCCCAGCGCCTGCCAACCTAGCAGTTCGAAAGCACCCCCGGGTGCAAGTAGATAAATAGGGACCGCTTACCAGCGGGAAGGTAAACGGCGTTCCGTGTGCTGCGCTGGCTCGCCAGATGCAGCTTGTCACGCTGGCCACGTGACCCGGAAGTGTCTGCGGACAGCGCTGGCTCCCGGCCTCTAGAGTGAGATGAGCGCACAACCCTAGAGTCTGGCAAGACTGGCCCGTACTACCTTTACCTTTACCTTTTAAGGCCTTCGACACGATTAGACATAAGTTCTTATGGAGTATTATGCAGGAGGGAGGATTAGGAGAGAACTTTGTGGAAGCAATCCGGGAATTGTATAGAGAAGGGAAGGCTGTGGTCAGAGTGAATGAGGGGGTTTCAGATCAATTCAATATACAAAGAGGAGTTAAACAAGGATGTTTACTCTCACCACTATTTGTATTAGGTATGGAGTATAATACTATTTGAGTGGACAGGCGGAGTCCCCAGATCCCACGCGGTCCCCCCGTCATGTGGAATAACGACTCAAGACTACGTGCTATGGGATTAAATTGGCCACAACTTTATTAAATTTCAAATGTGGGTAGACCTTGGCTCAGGCATTGGGTGTTCTCCCTCCCCAGTCCCCAGCCCAAGGCCTGATACCGCCAAAGTTGTGACGTTTTGCTACGGGAAAGGCGAAACCTGCCAATGCAGGGAAATTCCTTTCCGGCCCTTTAACCGCGACCTTAACGTAGCAGCGCCCGCATACCTGTGAAGAAAAGTTAACCTGCAAAACCTGTGAAGAAAAGTTAACCTGCAAAATAAGACATTAACTGAGGGTGGGTAGGGTGGGAGAAGCTCTGGAGCCAAGTGAGGATTCCCAGGTAAGATCCTCCCTCTATTGTGTGGGCAGGTAATCCCTCCCCTACCTGGCCTGGTCTCCTTGGCAACGCTTCCCCCAGGTGGGATTGGACAACTGACTGAGGTAGGCGGAGACCTCCAGGTATCCCACCTGAGGGAAGGCAAAGCCAAGCCTATGCTGTTGGAGCCGCTCCAGATCTAGGGGCTGCACGCGTCCAGGCAAAGGGCGCCCCCCGTTTTAAGCGGGGAGCGGTCATTGTATTAGGTATGGAACCATCCCAAAGCAGTTGGAAAAGGTCCAGGCGGGTTCCAACTTGCACAGACTACTTGGAACTGGCCCATACTGGTTGGAACAGGTCTAGACTGGTTTGAACCAGACCAAGTCGGCTGAAACAGATCCAAGCCGGTTGGAACCGGTCTAGGCCAGTTTGAACCGGTCTAGGCCGGTTTCTGCCAGTCCAAGCCGGTTTGAATTGGTCGAGGCAGTTTTGTACCGGTTTAGGCCGGTTTGAAGAGTTCCAAGTGGGTTGGAACTGGCCCAGACAGGTTGGAGCAGGTCCAGGCCAGTTGGAGCAGGTGCAGGTCATTTGAAACTGGCCCAAGCTGGTTACAACAGGTCCAGGCTAGTTGAAACAGGTCTATGTCGCTTGGAACCAGCCCAGACCTGTAGGAATCATTTCATACCAGTTGGATCCAGCCCAAGCCAGTTGGAACCAGCCCAAACCAGTTGGGAAAGGTCCAGGCGGGATCCAACTTTCCCAGACTGGTTGGAACCAGCTCAGACTGGTTGGAAGAGGTCTAGACTGGTTTGAACCAGTCCAAGCCGATTTGTGCTGGTTGAAGCCGGTTTGAACTGGTCTAGGCTGTTTTGAACTGGTCAAATTCAGTTTCAAATGACCTGCACCTGCTCTAACTGGTCTGGACCTGCTCCAACCCGTCTGGGCCACTTCCAACCTACTTGGAACTGCTCAAACTAGCTTGGGCCGTTTAAAACCGGCCTAGACCTGTTCAAACCGGCCAAGACCGGTTTAAACTGGCTTGTACTGGCGTAAACCTGCCTAGACCGGTTCCAACTGGCCTAGACCGGTTCCAACCGGCTTCAACCTGTTTCAACCGACTTGGACCAGTTCAAACCAGCCTAGACCTGTTCCAACCAGTCTTAGCCAGTTCCTACCAGTCTGGGGCAGTTCAAACTGGTGTGGGCAAGTTGGAACCTGCATGGAATTTTCCCAACTGGTTTCAGCTGGTTCAAACTGGATTGGAC